TTGGAAACACTAGCGGCTGCCAACTGCCCGTCTCTGTGGGCTGCGGGTGGTTTCAAGGGCCCAGCTGCTGGACAAAGGCAGGTTGGGAGGCCTCGACCCCCATTGCATTGCAGCACGAGCTGCACTGGTGCACAGCCGTGGCTCCCAGGGCAAGAGGCAGCTCACTCTCCAGCACTGGGAGGCGTCTATTTAGACCCCTGCCCATGGGGTATTTTAGAGCAGAGTAAAGGGGACTGGGAGGCAGCATCCTGTGGCCTATCAGCAGTCCCCCATCTCCCATGACTCCTGCCCCTTCCCATGAGGCTCCTTCCCAGCCCTCGCTGGGAAACCTGGCGCCCTCTTCCTTAGGCAGGGAGGGGACGCAGCGATATTCCCACAGGAGACCCACCTGCTGTACCTCCAGGCTCACGTAGAAGGGCGGACATTGAATCTCATCCATGTCTGCACCCCAAGGCCCGGAACCGGTGCGTTTCTTTCATCGGGCGTCCAGCTTCCTTGGCACCTCGGATCCGCGCGCGCGCCTGGCTCTGGGCAGGGATCTGAATACCAGTGGGGAGCAGCGGGACAGCTCTGGGACTGAGAACAGGGAGGTCACTGTGGATAAGCTCAGGGAGAATCGTTGGTCCCTCCCGGGTGCACGTGGCGTGACATCACCCAGACAAGGGTTCCACCGTGAGCTCGGTCCAGGGGGAGGTCGGTCAGTTGCCCCGTTCCTGACTGGAACGTATCTGCCTTTCCAGTTCCATCTTGCCTGGGCCCACCCCTCCCTGTTTGGCTGGCCCTATTCTCGGACCACCGTTTCTCACCTCGGCGAGGCCGGGGCTGGCCTATCGGCGGTTGGGTAACAGCTTGCAGGTGGATGTGGCCTCCGTGGCATCCTTCCAGACAGTCTAGCTGGCCTGGTGAGGGGTTGGAGCGGCCACCCACTGACCCCGAGGGGGAAACGCCCCTCCCTGAGCCATGGTGGGCTCACCTGGATGACTCACCTGGGAGGAAGCCGGGGGCGGGGCCAGTGATATAAAGGGTCGGCCTGCAAGGCCAGTGGGGGGCCTGCCAGAGAAGGAGCCAAAATCCTTCACTCCCCAGCCAGCCATGGATCCAGAAGCCTCCCCAGCCCCGCCTGCCGAGGAGCCAGAGCTGAAGGGGGAACCCATACGGCCTGAAGGACCCACCACCGAGCCAGGTACAGCGTATGGAGGGGAGAATTGGAGCCGACCTTCGACTGGCTGAGGGTCCATTGGCTGTGGTGTGGACCCCGCTGACCCCGGCCTAGCAGGTCAGTGAGTTTTGGACTGGATCCCTGCTGACCCAGCAGCTGACTATCAGCTGCTATTAGGGCCCTGGGCTGGAGTGCCGTGGTGTAGGGAGGGTCCACGTTCCCCCTGCCACTCCTTGATTGGGTGGCAGTCTCCCCGCCAAGGTGCCTGAACCCCTCCTGAACGAGGAGACAGACTGCTTACCCGTGCTTACTGGCCGTGGACTGGTTGGTTGGACCTGGAAGAAGCCCTTGTCCTGCCGCGGTGATAGCCCTCTTGCGTGGCCACCCACTGACCCCGAGAGGGACCCCCCTCATTCTGTGGGGTGCAGGGCTGTGGTGCGCTTTCAGCCAACACAGTATTGGTGGGATGTGGGGAAGGAGCACACCTACCTCTTTGGCCTGGACAGCACCAGGGTGCCCACCAGCGGAGAGATGCAGTGATACAGAATGTAGGGTAGGAGATCATGGAGCTGACGAGCTGCCTTGATGCTCCTCTCTTCGCGACCCTCCCCCTCCCCACGAGATCCATACCTGTCTGGAGCATGCCAGGAGAAGTGGGAGTAGTTCCAGGCCCTGGACAACCATCGGACGTGGGGTGAGTTCGTTCACAGACTTATAGTAGATGAGGTTGGAAAGAGAGCTCAAGAGGCCATCAAGTCTAACATGGAGATTCCACCCCCTTCCTAGAGACCCCATCACACGGCTTCCTCAGTCTCCTACAGAAATCGTTTTTTCTAAGATGCAACCGAGACCTTCTCCACTGCAACATGAGACCATTGCTCCTTGTTCTGCAACCTGTCACGGAGAACAGCCTCTCTGCATCCTCTTTGGACGCCCCCTGCAAGTAGTTGAGGGTTGCTCTCAAATCCCCACTCCCTCTTCTCTTCTGCAGACTAAACAAACCCATATCCCTCAGCCTCTCCTCCTAGGTGATGTGCTCCAGCACCCAAATCACTGTGGTCACCCTCCGCTGGACCCTCTCCAATGTGTCCACATCCTTTCTGTAGTGGAGAGCTCAAAACTGGATGCGGCACTCCACAGCTGCAAAAAAAGCACCGCGTACGTCAACCTTTCCCACATCATCGGGCACTAGGCTGCCTTCCCCATTCAGTAACAGTCCCACACTTTCCCTCACCTGGTTGCTAACGTTCCCATAGATTGCTGTCTAGTTGTCCTTCATGTCCCTCACCAGCTGCAACTCCGGTTGGGCTTTGGCTTTTCTGATTACACCCCTGCATGCTTGAGCAGTATTTTATCCCCGTCACTGAGCATCTGACCGAGTTCCCACTTCTTGTGAGCTTCCTTTCCGTGCTTAAGATCATCACAGATTTCCTACTGCTCTCTGACACACAGTGCAACTCCTCCACCTTTTCTCCTCCATTTGTCCTTCCTGAATACTTTGTACCCACCCAGGACAGTGCTCCAATCATGTCAGTCGTCCCATCAGGTCTGTGTTATTCCAATCACATCACAGCTCCTTGACTGTACCAGGTCTCTGGATTTTGGGAATGTATCTCCCTGCCTCATATTTCTAAACTGGAAGCCTTTGTAATTCTTCTAATCTCAATGAGCTGCACCCCATTTTAGGGTAGAACTGAGCAGCTGCAATGCCTGCTTGGGAACACTAGGGGGCGCTGTGGGCTGGAGAGGAGTCAGGCATGGCCAGACAGGGGTGCTAGAGAGAGGGATGAATTTGCTGCAACGGGGAATCCCGTGTGATGTGGCTAACGCCAGTCAAGGGGGTGGCTTATGTCAGGGACAGAGTGGGGAGGGTGGGGAAGAGATTCAGGAAGCTGGGCTGGATTGTTCATGGCTGAGAATGGGAGACCTTGCTATTCCCAAGGGATCTCGGAGGGGATGTGAGGAATGTTTCTTCTAATCTAAGGCGATTCAGCTCTGATCTGGCCCCAGGGGGACGGGCTGGGGAATGGGACATGGGGCCTTTCCCCACTAGGGGGCGCTGGTTCTGACCTGGCCCCATGACATGCCTGGCTCCAGAGGCTGGGGAATGAGAGTGATAGTTCGGCGCTAATGGGGAGCTCCGATTCCCTCCAGCAGGTGGCAGGTTGGATCCTGCAGCACCCAATGGTTGATCAGCAAACTGCACTTGCGTGTCAGTCCTGGCCGTGCAGGGAAGGGGTTGGCAGAGGAGTTTGGGGGGTGGAGGGAGGGCTGAGCTCCAGATCTGCCCCCAGAGTGAAAGCTAGATCCTGTGTAGCAGCTGACAGGTACAGCAGCTCCAGAGAGCTGGAGGGGATGCCTTTGAGATGCATCTGGACCAGAGAGCATCAATCCTTAGCCCATTCCTCCCCCCTTCTCTTCCTGCCCCCCAACACACCAGTGACCTCAGAGCAAGCCCCAGCAGGGTCCATGGTCCTAGCTGGCACGGCCCACCTCCATCCCACTGCCGCCTGGGCCTGAGCCCTTCCCTGGGCTGGGAGTTGCTGCAGCGCCCTGGACAATAC